TCCCCGGAACCCTTTACCGGCAGGTGTAGGTATGGCGCCGTCCGTGGACGGCTTTAAGCGAAGGCTGAACAATCATTCAGCAACACAAGGACTGCATCCAAACGGACATATAAACTCATCGTTTAACTTCTTCCCATTCTCCCTTGTCTTACTCTGTTGATCAGTAGATATGGTGGTGGTCACTAAGGTGAATCGCCCCATTCTGCAGGAACCGCCATATGCAATTTGACGGCTCGAGATTTCTATGGGGGCTTAGATCGTTATCTTGAAAAAGATAATAATGATCGCTTAGATAGACGATGATTCTGCCTTTAAACATATACCATTCGCTCAGCCTATTGTTGAGATGCGACCCCGTGGGCTCTGCACAGATTTATGGGGCATCTTATAAATTAAAATGCTTTCCATTGTCGGATCTTTGAATACCACTTCACAATGCCTCATCTCATTCATTTTCTAATATAGTCGTTACTTGCCCCTCATTATATTCCACTAAACCTAACATTTTATAGCTCTTTATGAATTCGATTCGACTTATTCTATTCTTATTCTCTATGGGGTACGGTTGTGCACCAAATACACAAAAAGGTATGAAATAAAAACAACCGGCTTGTGGATAATTGTATTAAAACCAAAGGTAAACATCATGATAGTAAGACCTATATGAGTAGCATTATACATTACAAATGAACGTTGTCAGCCATAGATTATATAGTTTCCCATTGTATGTCCTTTATGAATGTATTTATTAATGATACATTGCACTTACTTATTTCACTACACTTTACTGATTCACCTTAGCCCTTTTACTTTTCTAAAACAGATTTCAATCCCATGTAAACGTTATACTTACCTCAATATTGGTTGGTTATCGTGTGCCTACAACCACGGGTTGAAAACGAAACTAAGTCGATTTTCCCGCACAACCTGGAGGACCACTGTACAATTCAATAATTATACGGCCTGGTTTAGACAATGGGTGTATTTATATATATCAAATATTTAGCTGTTGAAACATTATTAACTTGTAGACAATCTACTATTTGGGAATATTTCATACTTGATCGTGCCTGTAAAAATAGCATGCATTTTCATATAAATTTATGTTTATACGAAAATATACATTATTATTATTATAACGTCCCTTACGCAATTATTATTGATATTAACATACATGTATACATATACATATTTACTGAATACATGTATATATAAATATCAAATTTCACTGGCTGTCTGCTTTTGTGGTTCCTATTTTTTCCTTTAGTCTATATAACCTACGCTAATTTTTTGTTATTATTATTTCTTTTCCTTTGTCGACTACACTGAATGACTAACTGGTGAGAGAACCAACTACATTAACAGCTGAAACCTGGTCTTAACGCACCGCATGCTACAAGTTACATAGCATCAGTCCAGGCACCACTCCCTTTGGAGTCAGCCGAAGCTATGACAGTCGAGTGGCGGGACGAACTATGCGGAAGTTTACCGAAGACCAGGAACCTTTACCTCACTACCAAGAAGCGAGCACAATAAATCACATCGGTTAACACTAGCTTGTAGATGGCAATATTAGATATACTGGACCTTGGACGAGTTGGCAACATTCCTCAGACCGAAAGGCGTGAACATCATATCGAAATGTCCGAAAGTTATCAGGATGGCTGTTTTTTAAAATATTTTTTGCAAATACTGGGACATGGTGATATTCAGGGAAGCCAGTAAGCTAGGCTGCTTGAGGGACCTTGAGCTCGTTTCTGACCAGCTTCAACTGGATACAGTTCTCACGATTGTTTGCGGCCGGCTGTCCTGCTACACCAGAGCTTCTGACTCATAAATCTGCCCGGCCTAACCTGGTGGACCAAATTAGATAACGGAAATACAAAATAAAACCACAACTTAAAGCTGCGCTTTTATTTCTTGAAAACCCAATTGTCCAAATTCTAGTGAGGTCAGCACATGCAACCAAATTGATCGTTGAAATACGGATGTCTGAGATCTTTTTGAATTGGCGAACTACTTCCACCCCCTACAGTGTCATTATTTGAAGCACCACAAAGACGTCAGTCATACTTGGTCTCAGTTACCATGAGCAAGGGCAAAGATCGTGGTCTGTTAGTAGGTCCGATGGTGCTTAGTTGCACTATCTGTTAAAACTCCTCGTTGACCTTCGCTGGTGTGTTAGGCGATGGACATCACGGACGGACAAACCTATTGTGACTGTTTTATGATTAACAGGTTATCCCCCTTTAGAAGGTTGGTGGGAAACCGGCAAGCTTCGGTATACAAAAGTAGCGAGGCTTTGTACAATAACAGTGAATGAACAAGGAAGTTTGAAGATAGTAATAAAAAATTGCGAAAGGAAAGAAGAAAAAGTTAAGGCAATTTAGAGGCACTATGTACATGATTAGTGGAGTAAGACGGAATATAAAAAGAAATAACGCTGGTGCCTGGGTGCGATTGCATGCTTCTAAGTTGCGTTAGGTTCTTTTTTATCCTTTTAAAAAAAACTTTTTACGTCATTTATTTTTATTCATTTTTGTTTTGATTTTTTAATACTGTATTTTTATTTATTTATTTTTTCTTTCAACTGCGTACTGTCACGGGCTTACTTATGTGCAGGTTTGATGATATACCTCCGTTGCCCAGGTTGTCATAGCGGAAAGGTGACTCATTATATCTAAGTTTCGTCTTAGACTAATGCTCCACTCCTCCGCTTCAACAGAAACTAGCAGCGATACTAAAGGCAATAAATATACCAGCGTATCAGGAGGAACAAGGTGAAAGCAACAGAAAAGAATGGAAGAAGAGGTTAAGATTTCAAAATCGGCATAAAGGTGTTACAAAACTTGGGCGGAATATGGATGGGCTCCTTCAAAAGGAAACATTTATCTGGTCTTCGACGACCCACTGATTCTGCGTCAGAGTCATTCAAGCAATACCAAATACTTTTGATGGGAACTGTCAACGGTAACTTCAGACGCCATTCCTCTGGTCACAGTGCTACTTAGGAAGCAACGGTCTTGCTTAAAATTACATGCAAGTCTTACGAAAGGCAGCGTATATGTGAAACATATGCAGGGAGTTGAGGGGTCAAAACATATAATTAGTAACAAAAGATTGACACGGCGTAATATTGCAAACAGAAGAGATCATCACCACCAAGAGCAACACTGCCTATCAGAATACGTATCGATTCACGTCTGAAGTGGGCATGAATTATTGCAGGATATGGTGGGAAGTGCTTAATCATCCAGGAATGACTCACATGACAGCAAATAACCAGTGATTGTGCCACAAAATGAGAACATAATAAGCAGTGAACTCCGGAACTTTCAAACCGGGGGCTCAAGTGACATGGTGACATCGAAACTTATTACTTGAATCTGTGCTTAGACATCCCTGAAACTCATTACATTCGACACAACCCCTAGCAACTCTGTAGATAGCGGAAGCGGGCCATACTTCCATCAGCAAGGCTGCTGGTCAGATCTTGGGCAGTGATCTCAGTAGTGCCTGAGATAATATCCAGCCTGGTCGGCGAGCAAGTAGGTAAACAGTTTGACACAAATAATACAACGCAAAAGAACAGAACAACTTGACGTCATGCCAAATGATCCTGTTGTCAACTCGCAACTAGTGAAGACCATACGGACACTCAGATATTGCAGTATAAGTGATTCCTTTGATTTCAAAAAGGCGAACTCTACTTCGTTACTGTGTGGAACAGAATGATTACTATATCTATGAATACTTATGCATACAGGTGCGATTGTACAGCTTTTGAGAGTTGAATCGCCCGAAAATATTTTTGGTGAACTTCTTGTTCTCTTCTCCACAATGTCCTTAAGCATATTTGTAGAGGACTGCCTAGAGCAAGTTCATTAACATAACAAATATGCGAATAAAAATCCAAGTCAATGAGAGTACAATGCAACAATATATTATCAAAATGCAGTAATGAGTTATGTTAATTAATAGGTTACTTGGATATGCTGTTAAAGTCCACTGCTACAAATTATTTATATAATCTACAGAAGCGTTGACTGTTGGGATCGTGTCTACTGATAGAAGCTGTGTTCCGGTTGTAGGTTTGTCTTCGGATAAGGATGATAGGTTCCTGCAATAAATCCAAAGTATACAACACGGTTTGAGTGGAGTGAGTAGACAGAAATGGCCAGAGAGAAGGCGAAGCTACCAACAGTATATTGTATTTCAAATTGCACTCGGAAGTTATATGTATTTAAACATAAATCGTTTTAAACAAGAGTCATGTACAATGTTTCTAATTTCAACATCTAACCAAAAAGTGTACAATCATATGGTTACGTACTCCACATATCTTCCACACTATGAAAAAAAAATAACAAGATGACGATCACCTAAACTCATGTTAAGTGGGTGATTTCTCCTCAGAGTGATAATGACGGGAGGATCTTATATTAGAGAAATGATAATAAAATGGATTCCCGTTTGTAACGGTAGCCAGGGACGCAATAAATGGAAAATCTAGACCTCACCCAGGAGGTAGTCAGGGACAGATTGTACATCAAACAACAAAAGACTGAACTAATCAGAATCACTCTACCTATAGTTATTTATCTGACGGATAAGAAGGTTGGGCCACCTTTCAAAATAATTATTTGGAGAGTAACGATTGAGCTCTAAACTCTGAGCGTATTGGTCAGCATAGATACCATCGAGGACTGCATGCTCGCCAAAATGCCCGAGTGTCAGCTATGCTTTCTGTTGCGACATAGTTAATATTAAGTTATCCTACAGCTGATTCATTTCATTTTTTAGTTATCACTGCACTTTATTGTCAAAAATAGGCGATACAGTTTAGTAATCGTTGAGCGACTAAATACTTTAAAAAGAGAATTCGAAATCACTACTAGAGCACATTTAAACTTTAAGGAAAGTGTTGGAAGTGCATAATGTTTTCCTTCAGTCACTCATTAACAATGATCTTTAATAATAATCTCATTTCAATTGAGAAACTGGTTGTTGGGAGCTCCGGGTCACCCGCGTGTTTTCTTCAATGCGTTGTATGTAGAATTTGTATCAGAAGTAGAGTGTAAGTTAGCTATTCTCCAGCATGTTTTCATAATTTTACATACATAAATCTTGGTGAGAGAAAGTCCTTCTGCACTTCAGCGCGATTTCCCCAAGAGAATCGTACTGAGACTTCGCCACTAGTTCTGACAGTGCTTAGTTATCATGTTCTGGGCAAAGTTCAACCATCATAGTCAGAACCACGGCAACCTTGAACAATCATTCAGAATCCAGTTACAGAAAAGTCACATAATCGTTGAAAAATACACTAAAATATTGCGGACATGATATCACACTGCATGTGTGATGTATTGTATGAATGTCTTCCAGTCACTACACGGATGATCGTTAGAGAAATAGTGACATGCGCAATATTTCCATTCATCTAGGCAACTGTAGATCATGGTACTTCTATATCCATTGATATTTCTAACACTTATGCCTAACCTACTAACTCTAGCCATGTTCCTAACTTCAGCCCTAAAACCTAACCTTAACCCTAGGCCTTAATCTTGAAAGTCAACCCTACCTAAGAGGGTAGATTTGCGGCGAAAATACGTAGCGAATAAGCGGAATATTGTGTCTATCCTCTCCAAGTCCGGAAATTCAGGCATGATTTGATTTGGAATGACCTTTCATAGCATTCCGGGTATCTGATCGCTTCTGAAAGGTCAACTTTTGAAAAACCTTGAGTTTGACTATTATAATTTAACTTTGTCGATATTTTTCTGCACTTCAAGCTGAATCTAAGCAATTATTAGCATTGTTTCCGTACTGCCAAACTTAGTTTAGCATGTACTGACATTTTCAAATTAATAATTCGGAACTTCAACTCCGATTCAACTCTAAAGAAACATCTGTTTACGAAATTTCCAGAATTTCCCTCGTGTCACTAAAATATACTTACTTTCTGCCAGGACTAACGTAGCTCAGGTCACTCGTAATTTGATCCTAATGAAGCTATTTTATTTAGCATTGAACTCTGTCCGATTAGAATCTAAATATATTCACCAACCGTTTTTAGTTGATTGCCAATGAGTGCTCCTTCCCGCGTCTTACTGTTGTCCACCGTAGTTTGTAGATAGGTTTCTAGGCTAACTTGTAGATTATTGTTTTCATTTGCTTTATTTCAGGTTTTCTTGATAGCATATACACTAGTCCCGGAGGTGATATTGCCCCCTTGTTGTTAGACGTGGTACAGCTATCCTTTTAGTTGTAACACCATCCAACTTCCCACATCACACCTAGCTTCTACAAGAAAACAGTCAACTGCAGGAATGTGGAAAGGCTTATGGTACTCCTAAAAAGCTACTCATTTTTGTACCATTTTAGATTTCATATTTTTCATACCTTGCAGCTGGTACATAGTATATTTTTTCGCTTTAATTTAATGCTAGTGTATTGTGTGTGGTTTCTAAATCTCCAGCTAAAGTTTTCCTTTCATTGGTCTCTACAGATTTTTCTGCTTGCTGAGTCGGACGCCACTGTCAGTCACACACACGCAATCTACCAACTCTTCTTTAATAACATATCCACAAGCTAAATAGAAATTATCAACAGCTGGTGCGTTGCTATTGTTTAAATTGGTGTAATTAGTTGTTAAATTGCGTCGTATGTCTCCTGGTATTATTCTTAACTATCACGAGTCTCTCTTGTACCACGATGATTTGGATACCTTAAGAGAAGGAAATTTTGTCAATGATAATATAATAACATTTCAACTGGAGTATCTTCGCCACACAAAATTATCTCAGTCACAAAGTATCCTCTTAGTGGATCCAGCTGCATCTCATCTATTGAAATTGATGGACGAAGAACATGTAGGAATTGTGTTAGATCCATTGGACTGCAATAAGAAGGACTGGATATTTTTAGTTATTAACGATGCTGTTTCGCGTGTTTCATCCGGTGGATCTCATTGGTCATTACTTATATTTTCTCCTCTTATAAAAAGTGCTTTCTACCTGGACTCTTTGGAGTGCACTCCTAATTATTCGCAAGCAGTTATGTTATCTAAAAAGCTATCCACCTATCTCGATATTTCACTTGTGAATGTGGAAGAGATTGATGTCGTAAAGCAAAATAACGGATATGATTGTGGAATATTTTGTATGGTCTTCATTGAGACTATATGTGATATGATACTAAAAGGTGATATGTCTTGGCACCAAGGTTTGAATTCTAAACTGATCCTAAGTTTAGTGGTACGCAAAAGAAAGTCATTGCTTGACTGCATCAATAGTTTATGTTCGACTAAAAATTAGGTTTTCAACTAATACAACTATAATTCCTTTGATGTTTCGTTAATTTGAACACTCATCCCATGTTGATTCCCTTGTAAAATATACACTTTGAAAAATGCTTCTTTTGCATACTGTTTTGCTCTAATTTTTAATTGATGTAATGGTTGCTATTCTTCTGATGCGTATGTTTCCTAGTGTGTTTGTACCTTTCAGTATAGCATTGTTTCCACGTTCATATTGTAAATGGTATCAGTATCACAAACATGCAAAACACTCAAAGCTAAGCGAAACGTAATTCGCAGGATCATGATGGAAGTATACATGTCTCGTCTTTATGGATTTACTCTACTGTTGAATAATAGAAAGTTTTATTCACCTGTCCAAACCTCTTCACACTAAATATATCCATAGCAATTTTCTACCTTTTTTGAAGTAAATCTAGATTCATTTGCGTAAGATTATGTTCAGTAATATGAATAGAGTGGTTTTAGGTTGTTTCGGAAGTATGGTTGGTTATTGTAAGGCAAATTATTTGCTGACTCTTTCTGAGTCTTTCATAAGAAAGACTCATAGGTCAATGTTAGAAAGATGGTTAATTTTGGTCACTGAAGTTATTAAATAATTCGTGTTACTACTACATTTCGTTTCATCAAATATGTTGGGTACTTGATTAAATCTAAACCAAATATCCAAAAAATCTGTTTTTATCACTGCTATCTCACCTTACCGGGAACATCGATTAATGGTAAACTAAGGGAGCTATTGTTCCATTGTGGTTAGTTGCGTTGTAGCTGCTCTAACTTCCGGTAAAATTCTAATACTGATTGTAATAGGACAGTGGTGGTAATGCGTTTTTTTAGGTGACTAGCATTTTAAAGTATCCTGCCTTTCCACTATACATATATAAGCCTAGAACCTTTGATGTTATTCAGAGATTTTCACACGTAAGATTGATCAGTTTATGAAGTTAAAAGGTGTACACCACGTGGCATTAGCTTGAGTAGTTTTAAGATATCAATAAATAAAAATGATCAGGTGGGAGTGTTCTTATTGTCTATAAATTCTCTGAATCATGTCAAGTTCTATAGAATGTCTCATTAGCAAGGTTAGATTGTTGGAAAAATCGGTGGTTTTCTGTTGTTTAAAATTAGTTACGAGTAACTGGATTCTTCATGTTCTATGCTCTGAGTCGCATTTATCATTGTGCGTGGACTGGTGTCACTCCCCAGGCATCCTGGCCGAAATAGGATTCTAACCCGAGTCTCATAGGTTAATAGTCATGTGGTAAAGTTAATGTGCCACATATCATTTACTTATTCCTTTATTTTATCTAGTTTTGTTAATAGTAGTAACCGCAGTTGTTTCAATTCTACTTACTGTTATCATCTCGTGTGTTAAGTTTGTACTTTACTGATACAGTCAAGTGTTTCACAACTACTTTCCAATGAAACCTGTCCCTATTAGTTTTTATCAAAATCTTCTCACAGAGTAATAAAGTCTAATTTGTTATACGTAGGTAGGGTGATGCATAAACGACATAGTATTCTTGTGCAATTATGAATAAGTAGGTCATTATATAAATATGGTCTGGTGCGTCGGTGGCATAGCGGTTAGGATGCTCGCCGACCATGCACATGGTCCGGGGTTCGATCCCCGGCCGACGCACTCCTTTACCTCGCTAAGCCAGAAATAAAGCTGGTAAAGGGGAAAGGTTGGGCATGAGGCTAGCAATCCCATCCTGTAAAATAAGCATTGCTACAGATACTTCAAGCCTCTAGCTTGAAGCCCTATGTTCCACTGGGAACGTGAAGGAATAAAAAAAATATAAATATGGTCTAGGTTGAAATATATATAGATTTAACAGATAATCAGGTGGTTAATTTTACTTTTAAAAGGGATATTTGTTTTTTATAGATCTCTTCTCACACTGATCATTTTCCTACTTGTAGATGATCGACTCTGCAAATTGTATTCATCCATTTGTTCACTGGGGTCAGTCAGAAGAATATGTATTTCTTTCAATTAAAGTAGCTAATGCAAATGTACGTCTGTCTAATCTTCAGTTTTACAATGGAATTTAGGTTGATTCCATTGTTATTAAAGAAGAAGAATTTAGCTTTTCAGCAACAAGTTTTGGGGCTGATGGTGTTAAGAAGTATGAATTTAACATGGTCTACTATCTTCCAATAATTCCTGAAGTAAGTTCTTTTTTGTAGGTTACACCGTTCGTTGTCCATATTCTCTTCTGATAAAACACTGTTGGTTGATAGTTTAACTATTTGACTTGTTTGTTATTGCAAGAACATTTGGGTTATTTTTTAGTCTTTTTCGATATACTACTGCTAGGTCTGGAAGTGGTATATTATGAGTCAGTTTTTCTTACGTGACACTAACGTAGATTAAGGATCAGATCAGTGGATTTTTCTTGGTACACGCTAACCAATGAAAACATATCCTTCCTATATCAGTAATTTATTGGCTGTTTAAAACAACTAAAGAAACATCTGTAATTTTCTAATGATATTATTTTGTCCTTCTCAGTCAGCCTTCGGCGTCATCTCAGTGTGGGAATAGTAGTCGAGTGATCAGTAGTATGTTGTTGTTGTTGAGCGTGTTGCAGTCCCAGTTACATTTTGGCAATGTATATTGTTGCTTTATTGACGTAACAATAGGATAAACCCCACAAATCCAGTATCACTAGATTTCACAGCAACTACAATTTATAAGATATAACACTGGCATACCTGTCGTATTGTAATAGAGGTTCAGGGTAATTGCTTTAACAACTATCCTCATAAACTTAGAAATTGATATATTAATGCATTAGTTTGATTCACCACATAATATCTTAACAAAAAAAGAACGGAAATGGAACAAGAAATGACTAGTAGAAGGTGTTTCATTCTTATGAAAAGTTGATTGAACTACTTTCATTGCACTTCTGCTTCTTTTTCCCTCAGGTGTTTCTTCTTTAACAAACGATTACTGTTATCTTATACAAGTCAGTTAGATCACTTTTATTGCTTTGAGTTGAACAACATTAATCTGAGAATATTTTTCATTTTTATTTATTTCTGTATAAGTTTAGTGTAAATCAGAAATGTGACTGATAATACCAAAGGTTAGCGGGATCAAAAACACAACTTTTCGAGAGACATGATAGTCTCTATCCTTGTTTCAATTACGTTATATAATATATGGATATGGTGTTAACAATTCGACGAAATAGAGTGCTCAGGGAAATTAGACTGATATTTAATTGAGCAAAGAAAAATATCCTTTTCGATAATTTCCTTTTCTGGCTCTACAATTATGTATATGTTTATATACATAGAATATTCTAGAATAGTAGTCAATAAAAATATTAGTGTTTTTTAAATAATATCGATTTGTAAAGTAAGATTAGTGGAATTACAGTTCCTTAAAGATGCATAAATTATAATATTAATGAAGATATAATAGCAAATAGAATATCAACTAAAACTAAGGAAATTTCCACAAAATTTGAGGATCATTCAAACCTAGATGGCCAACGTAAGGACAATGTCTGAACTAGCTTCTTTTGAACACATAAATTATTCCTCTTAATGTGGATCCCAACGGACTCAGCAATATTTAGTAATCGAACTCTTAAGGCAAAGTCAAGATTTGTTGTATGTGGTAAATGACTTTGAAAGCCACCTCGTTAACATCAATTTTCTGTTCTGTATCCACAAGATGAGATAGAATAGCGCTACGAATGGATTTTGTTTGTCCTTTACTTAACCAACCACGCAGGGTGATGTTCGGAAATCCGACGACAAACACGCCTAATTGTACGGCCTATGTAAGTGGCTCCACAGGAGCAGTAGGTTCATCCTACAATAAATTTTACTATTGAGAAAGAAAAAGACTCTAGTATTTCATTTCTAGACGTCCTTAGTACCAGAAAAGAGTATGGCATAATATAAAGAAGTATATATAGGAAACCTACATCAACTGGTCAGTATACTCATTTTTTCAGCTTCGTGCCCTTAAAATACAAACGGAATCTGATAAAGTGCTTGGTTCACAGATCAAGAGCAATCTACTCGGATGCCTTGATGAGGGAATTAATAATATTAAACGGTTGCTGAGTGAAAACAGTTATCCAGAGAAGTTTATTGATAAGAATATGAATCTAAAATCAAGGCAGCCCAAGGTACCAACAGTTCCTAAAAAGGCCTTATTCTTACAAATTCATTTCCTCGAGGACAACATCAGCGAGATACTAACACAACACCTTAGAAATGCGGTAAAAAGAGCATTCAGTGCTGCTGAATTACGCTGTGTCTTCAAAACCACTCCTCTTTTGCGTTCGGGAGTAAAAGATAAACTGCCTAATTTCGCCTCTTCCATGTGTATCTACCAATTTAACTGCTCCTGTGGAGCCAGTTACATAGGCCGTACAATTAGGCGTGTTTCTCGTCGGATTTCCGAACATCACCCTGCGTGGTTGGTTAAGTAAAGGACAAACAAAATCCATTCGTAGCGCTATTCTATCTCATCTTGTGGATACAGAACACAAGATTGATGTTAACGAGGTGGCTTTCAAAGTCATTTACCACATACAACAAATCTTGACTTTGCCTTAAGAGTTCGATTACTAAATATTGCTGAGGCCGTTGGGATCCACATTAAGAAGCCTAATTTATGTGTCCAAAAGAAGCTAGTTCAGACATTGTCCTTACCTTGGCCATCTAGGTTTGAATGATCCTCAATTTTTGTAGAAATTTCCCTAATTTTAGTTGATATTCTATTTGCTATTATATTTTTATTATTATTATAATTTAAGCATCTTTAAGGAACTGTAATTCCATTGATCTTACTTTACAAATCGATATTATTTTAAAAACACTAATATTTTTATTGACTACTACTCTAGAATATTCCATGTACATAAACATATACAGAGCCAGAAGAGGAAATTATCGAAAAGGATATTCTTTGCTCAATTATTTTGTGTTTTATAGATGTCTGAATGAATATTTTCGCTATATTGATCTTTAATTATCATCTTGAGTATTTTTTCAGGGGTAATGGGTGGGGTGTGTTTATAGGTCAAATAGTCAAGACGATGAAAATGTCATCTTTTTGATACTGCAACGTCGTAAAACAGAATTAAAGTTACCTTTCATTAGGTATGCCTTTAAAGACAACTGACTCACCAAAGTCTTAACTGGTTGATAATAATAAAATGTACCTAAAATGTATTTATGACGAAACGTCTCATCTTTTATAGTATACTCTGTTAGGTCATGACAGTGTGTGTGTGTGTGTGGCTTTTTATTTGATGAAGACTTGGAATTCTGTTTTTTTTCTCAGGACAGTCGGTATGTTGTAACCAGTATGGCAGTGAATATCAAACTGAAAAAGGAGCTGAAAGATTCATGGCCAAGGTTGACATACAGTAGTCAACGTTTACCTTGGGTTCGTCCAGACTTTGATCGTTATCAATTCCAAGAGTCTGATTTGGAAGATGATGAAGATGGTATCAAATTGAATGTAGTCCATCCATCAAAAGAGGAAAGAGTAAGTTATACATGTACTATCTGTAGACTAATTCGTTTAACATTATTCACTGACTGTTTATTGTATTCAACGCATTATTATTATGATTATTTTTGAATGTAATTGAAGACAAAAGTTACTTAACTTTCTTCAAAGTTTAATACTTTTTAAAACTGATAACACTCATTGGAATTCCAGAACATCTGAACGGGTATTTTAGTAAACATTTTCTACAAGCTTGCCTTATTGTTGATTTCTGCATAACTAATCAGTATTGCAAGCTGTAATATAAAACTTTTCTGTCTGAAAAGATATAGTGATAGCCTCACACTCTGGTGTAAAAAAGCCTCAGCTATCTAGTAATTTACACACATTTGCTGGATAGATATTTATTCGTTTTTTTTTTTGGTTTTATGTCTTGTGCTGCTGCTGCTGCTGACTTCTGAGTCTCAACATAGAACCTTGCTCAAGAGTGCAGCACTTCAATTTGCTACATTCCATGTGGCACACATAAGCAGAAAAAAAGAGAGAAGGGATTCAGAAGGATTGTAACAAGCAGAAATGTAAGGGAGAAACATTAAGGTTTGATAGATACGGAAAATCACAAAGAGTAAATGCATCTGCGCCAGTTATTGAGAACGATTTTGAGTCATATTACCAATCGTCTGTAGCCATCGGTTCTTAAAATCCTGAGGACCCCAGCCTAGAAGCCTACACCTCCCTACGTAGATCAAACCCACTGTCAAAGATTTCATGGACTCAATCCAGGTTTTAGTTTGACCAGCAGTGGCTCTTTTACGACCTGATCCATCCTATGTCAGCTGACATTTCACGTCAAGGAAGCCAATGACTAGGCATACGCGACACATGTGTCTTAACCATCTCAACTGATATAATTTCACAACCTTGTCGATCGGTTTTCCCTCCTCACTTAGTACTTGACGCCTAACCTCAGTATTACTCATCCTATTAAACGGGAGATAGAACGCAGGCACCTATAATCAAAGACAGCTAGTCTTTTCATATGTTTCGCTTTCAGTGGTCCTGTTTGGCTCACAGCCATAAAGGACGAAACGAACTGGTTTATTTATTGTATATAAATAATGACATAATTCAATGAAACAATGCTATATAGAGCAAAATGCCGTTGGTTGCTCTGTTAGTCGTGTCGATTACTATTCAGTTTTGAATTTTAAGAATAATTTTGACTGGAATGCAGATTGTTGGCCGTGCCATATGCTATTTCCGGCTTTGGATTTGACGATCACTCTTCCAACTAACTTAAAAACACAAATATATCTTTATCATATCGATTATATATGTACATATGTATACTTCGCAATGGTTCCACTTCCCTGTTGAATATATATTCATATAAAATAGACATTCAGAGCAGTTTATGCGTCGGTGGCATAGCGGTAGAATGCTCGCCAACCACTCATGTGGTCCGGGATTCGGTCCCCGGCCGGCGCACTCCTATACCGTGTTAAGCCAGTATTAAAACTGGTAAAGAGGGAAGGTTGGGCATGAGGCTAGCAACCCCATCCCTTAGAAATAAACACCACTGTTACCGAAACTTTAAAGTTGTAGCTTGAAGCCCTGTATTCCATTGGGAACGTGAAGGAATAATAAAAATATAAATAAGAGCAGTTTGTGTTGTACCTTGAATTCATTCGGCCATAATGAAATATGGAATTGAAGAATCAACATCTTAAACACTATTTCAAGTTAAAAAACGTAAGCCAACCAGTCACTTAGGTAGGTTATCTATCTGTCTTCGTAGACTACCACTGATAGTAATTCGGTACGCAAAGAGAGCAGTTATTTAATTTCCATTGGTATTGGTTCGTCGCCAACCAATCAAAACACTGACAGGTTTGATCACTAGCTAACATAAGTTAGATAACCACTGGAAAGCCGAGGAGTATTGGACAGCTGTTTCATCCTAGTTTGGGATACTTCACCAGTACGCAGCCATTGCGGTTTAAACCCAAAACCTTCCAGTTACATGGCGAGCTCATAGACCATTCATTAATAAATTAAATTTGTAATTTATTGGTCATATAAAATGACCATATGAAAATGGTTGTAATTTCTGGCAATTTGTCTTTTTCGTAGAAGGTTAAATCTTGCCTTCACAGTCTGTCATCTGTGTTTTCCCATTGCTTGAATAGTATTCAACTGGTCAGTTCTATATAATTGTTCCCTGAAGTACTGTGAGTGAATAACAGTGGTTTTCCTAGTTCTTAATCAGTCAGTTTGGTAGAACCTGAATTAAGTAGTACCCGACTACTTTAGAAACTGTATGAAAAGCATAAAAGGCTGAAAATAGTTGAAAACCCGGGGAGATTATTGACCAATAAGAATCGGAGGTTTCCCAGTATTGATTAGCTGTTCTAATTCACTATTTTCGGAGATAAAAGACTAGAATAAAGCTAGGTCTGGTTAGACGAAAATACCATACCATCAGTTCATGAATTCTTTGATTACTACATAGTAGTTAGTTTCATCTAAGCGTAAAAAAATCACTGTTTGATGCCAAGTTGACATAACCTGTAGGTACATAGATGTATTTGTTCCTAATCTTTCTCCTTCACTTTGGCAGTATCACTTTTTAATATGTATAGGATTGTCGATTTCAGTAATTTTGTGAAGCATTACAATCTATCCTTTTGTCTGTTATTCTTTGTTCTTTAGGATAAACACAATTTAGAGCAGATGATGTTGCAGGATGAAGAAGAGTGGGAAGCATTTTTGAATTGTAAGTTATGCATTGTATATAGTTCGGTAATTGCTTTTTTCGCTCAATTTTAATTATAAAATCTGTCACCATAGTCGGTGTAGTGGTTTGCAGTTAGTCTGTTGCTATTGGATGTTTAATTCTTTATTATTATTATTCTTTCATTCCTTTGCTTCCTGATCGGAAAGTAAGGCTTCAAGCTTGAGCTTTGAAGTTTCGGTAACAGTGGTTTTATTTTTAAGAGGCGGGGTTGACAGCCTCACACCCAATCTTCCCTCTTTATCGGGATTACTACCGGCCAGGCGAGGTTTAGGAGTACGTTGGCTGAAAATTGAGCCGTGGACCAAGAGAGGCGTGGTTAGGGAGTTTTCTACCCTTGAACCACTGACGCCTAATGGGTGTTTAAATAGTGATTCCTTAACGACTTAGGAATCGACTTGTTACCAGGGAATAGTCTTATGGACTTAGAATATGCAGACGACATAGTCCTGTTAGGGGAGGATGCTGACAAAATGCAGAGTCTTGTAAACACCTTGAGCAGCAATCTTCGTATGTTTGGCATGCGATTCGCCCCTGTAAAATGTAAGATGATGCTACAGGACTGGACTACGTCAACTCCAAGCTTAGTGATAGGAAGTAAAGTGGTAGAACGTGTTGACCACTTCACCTATTTGGGAAGTTGTATCAGCACCAACGGATTGATTGGTGACGAAATCTCAGCACGGATCCAAAAAGCTCGGGCTGCTTTCGCTAACTTACACCGTCTCTGGCGTAGGCGTGACATCCGGCTATCAACCAAGGGACGTGTGTGCTGCTCCGCAGTTCGCTCCGTCCTTCTTTATGGCTCTGAAACATGGCCAATACGAGCTGAAGACATGAAAAGGTTGTCTGTTTTTGACCACAGATGTTTACGATCTCTTTCTCGCGTTAGATGGTATATTAAGGTAAGTAATGTTGACGTTAGGCGTAGAGTGTTGGGCAAAGAGGGAAAATCAATTGACGAGGCTATAAAGTTACATAGATTGAGATGGCTAGATCACGTGCTGCGCATGCCTAACCATCGCCTCCTCCGACGGGCTTTACTAGCTGATATAGGTGCAGGTTGGAAAAGAGTAAGTGGTGGCCAAACAAAAACATGGCATCAATCCATGAAATCCTTGACAGTTAAACTGAGTCAGGTAGGGAGATGCAGACTTCCGGGTTGGGGCCCTCGGGACTCTAAGAATCAATGGCTGGAGACAATAGGTGACATGGCTCAAAATCGTTGTCAATGGCGCAGATGTATTCAGTCTCTTTAACCTTCATACTCCTTTCTACCATTACTCATTCTGTTTCACTCTTATACTTGTCAAAACTCTATTGATTCTCTTCATCGCTCATTTTCTTGTCTACCTTCGTGTGCTATTTGGAACGTGGCAACTCGAACTGCTGCACTTCGGTGCCAATTTCTATGTTGAATCCAGCCAGATTTTTAGTAGTCTTTTTGTGTGATTGAAGCATAATTCCTTTTTCGAAATAAAACTATCATTGTTATTATTAGCACAACAGTTGGGTTTTCGTGCTTTTAATAGTCTAGTAGATAACATCTTAGCATTCGAAATGATGGATACAGCGTTCTTGCCTGTTGATATCACCGCCAACCAGCTTCCATCGTTCTGTCGCCAAGTCAAAGCTCCATAAGCGTTCAATCTTAATCGATCCTTCTGCCTGAGTAGTATGGTTATCTTCCCACTTACCACATGTTGACTTAATTCCATTCCGTTGGTGGTCACCTGTATCAGTATATTCGTGGTTCGGTCCAACTTTTGACTGCGGGCAAGTCTTGACGGATCTTGTTCTAATGCATGTACTATATATGCAATCTACGGTTAATCACCTTCGTCTTCCTGTGTAGATAAAAATTCAGCCAATAAATTCCCTTTCCCTGGAACGTACGAGATTGTGAAGTTGGACTCGTGCAGGTGTGACATCCACTGCGACAATTTCCCACATGGGACTATCACTGTCTTCAACCACTGTATAGTGGCTTATGATCAGTTTCGATGTGAAACCAACAGTTAACCGAGTAGATAAGGTCTCCATTTATCTAACTCCCACACTATAGCTAAACATTCTTTCTCGATCGTTGAATACTTTTGGCATACTTGACAACTCCTTCACTCTGTCTTAGTACTGCATGCATTCTGAAGTCACTTGCATCTATGGACACCGTAAACTTGTCAGTAACACAAGCCACTTAGTGTACATAAAAGTGAGCACGAGGTTACTTAATACTACCCATAATTGCATATAGAGACGATTATGTTTAGAGAATGCTTGCCAACCAACCAGGCTTCACATTGTCCGGGGTTCGACCCCCGGCTGATACACTTCTCGGTCTCGCTTGGTTTACTAACCAGTAGTAAGCTTGGGAAAGAGGGAATGTTGGGCATATGAGGCTAACAACCCTTCATGCCCACCCACCCCCCTCATAAAAAGAACACTACTCCTGAAAATGCTAAGCTTAAATCCGTGTTCGTTCCACTTGGAATGCAAAGAAATCAGAAAACGAAATGTTTAAATATGTTAGACATATTGAATTCACTGTTGGTAATTAATCTTTCTTATTTCTTCTCTTCAAGTGATCAAGAATCCATTGACAATATATTTATTCCTGTTTAACATTATTCAATTTGCTGGCTACCTTTACACTTGTGGAGCTTTACTCTATGGATTAATACAATATAAAGAAGTGGAGAAAATACCATTCTATGATTGGGTTATTGATCGACTGTTTTTAGTACAAATTTTAGCTATATTAGAACCTTTGCATGCTATATTAGGTTGGATTCAAGGTGGAAATGTTGTCGCTTCATTTTTTCAAGTAAGTTCTCTCTTTTTTTTTTTTAAAAAAACACATCTGAAATACTGATCATTGTCTCTGCTTAACATTATTCTCTATGTGTGTGTGTGTGTGTGTGTGTGTGTGTGTGGATATAGTGGTGGAGAGTTATGTCTTATTGAGTTTAGCTAATTTGACTTTCAACCATTGGGTTGACGGTTCGAATCCTCGTCAATGGCTCATTTATTTATTCTTCATATTTTTCAGTATATAGAATTATGCATTACAATGCAATCACAATGTTTTAATTTTAACAAATACTTCGACCATGCGCATTTATTTCCTTGATAAATTATCCGCCCTTTGACAAGTTGATATTAGTTAGGAATTGTTAAGAAACTTACCACTACTAGATTTGGAAAATACATATTGGATTTAAAATTCTAGAGTAGAGCTATTGATAAGAATCTAATTGGAAAGTTAACATTTCTTCACCTAGTTTATCATGTAACAGGAGAAGCCCACCACCCCCATTTCTATTCAATTTCATCATAGATGTACTCATGGAATTAACCCTAACTGCTGACTTCAGCGACTCAGGGATTGACTTGTTACCAGGGAATAATAGTCTTGTTGACTTAGAATATACAGATGATATAGTCCTTCTAGGTGAAGACGCTGACAAAATGGAGAGTCTTCTGAACTCCTTGAGCTGCAGTCTGCGAATGTTTGGCATGCGATTCGCTCCTATCAGTCAAATGTAAGATGATGCTACAGGACTGGACTACGTTGACTCCTAGCTTAAAGATAGGGAGTGAAGTGGTAGGTGGAGCGTGTTGACCACTTCACTTATTTGGGGAGTTGCGTCAGCCCCGACGGGGGCTGATACACAGGGCTCCTTTGGTATATACCAACTTATTCCATCTCTGCCGTAGACGTGTTATCCAGCTGGCTGTCGACCAAAGGGCGTGTGTACTGCTCAGCAGTTCACTCTCTCCTCCTTTATGGCAGACAGGACCATTGAAGGTGAAATATATGAAAAGGCTATCTCTCTTTAATCATAGGTGCGTGGTATAATAAGTTGAGGTTAGGTGTTGATCAAGTGCTAGGTAAGGATGGAAAACCGATCGACGAGGTTGTGAAATTACATCAATTGAGATTGTTAGGACATGTTTTGCGCATGCCTAGCCATCGCCTTCCTCGACGTGCAATGTTAGCTGACATAAGATGGATCAGGTTGGAAAAGAGCTAGTGGTGGTCAAACCAAAACATGGCCTCATCAGTCAATGAAATCCACAACAGTTAGTTTAAGCCAGCTAGAGCCACGTAGGAAGGTGTAGACTTCTTGGCTTTGGGGTCCTCGGGACGGTAAAAACCAATGAGGGCTGGAGACAATTGGTGATATGGCTGAAAATCGTTCTCAATAGCTGGCGCAGATGCATCCACTCCTTGTGACTTATAATTTCCAATAAAACTATACGGTTCTTCGATGTCACTATTCTTTTTGCCTCATCTCTGTTTATGTTCTCTCTTTTGAATCTCTCCTCACTCTCTTCTTTCGCTTTGTGTGCTACATAGCGTGTGGCAACTCGAATTGCTGCACATTTGTGTGCAGAGTTCTCTGTTGAAACCAGAGATATAGAGAACGGAAGGAGATAAGAGACCGGGTAGCGGACCTTTATTAAGGAATAAAACATCATATTTATACATTGGCCATATTAAAGTTCTGCTAGGTCAGATTGGTTGGCAACTGGTCATAGGTTAAACAAATTGTCCATTGCAGTTATTTCATGTCCACAACGTAAACTCTGTAGACGTTGACTTGGAATGCTGATTTCATTTTTGACTGTTTCCTATCAATTTTACATCACTCCACAATCAGCACTTTTATATTTAACTGATCCGAATAAATTTACACATATCTTCATGTATTTAGCTGATTGCAACTGACAAGTCAAGGTAGACGTACTTCTAGAGTGTATACACTTAGTGAGTTTTTCATTTACTGAGTAGTATTGTAACGACAGAAGACAAGGGCCAGGAAACAGATCGTTTATTGAGAAAATCAAGAGATATTTATAGATTTTTATGTACATTATTGTCAGTGGAGAAGCAACGTCTTCTGATTGGTTTTCTTGCTGAAGGTTATTCTGTACTGCTTGTCACCGTTTCTCAGAAAGTTAAGCCATATATCTGCGAATCGTATTTGCACACGTTAAGTCTGCTGTGATTGGTTGGTGAGTTCTTCGAGGTTAAGCTTTGTTATTGTTTTTTTCCTCATGACCCCTATTCGGGACGTAAACGTTGACGTAAATTGTTGTCTACAATACTGGCTTGCAGACAGCTCTCACCACAGTATCTTCAGCTTATCAGAGAAGTGAATCTTTTTCATTTTATGAATTATAACAATAAATGTGAAAGATTATATTTTTATATTTTGTGCTATAAATTATTTCTATTTAAATACTACTATTATTATTTATAGGTGTTTGGTCGTTCTCTAGTCTTATTTTTCATCGTTCTACCACATCCCCAATTTCATTCAGAATCTACAACTTATTGGTTATTCTTAGCATGGAGTCTTTCTGATGTTATTAGGTAAGAAAAATCTAATTAGTTAATTTTTTCAGAGGTGTGTGAATAACTATTAATAAATTCCCATTTAGATATTTAGAAGACCACCGATGGGGTCCACAATGTTAAAATGTTGAGGGCAGCGCTATGTCACGAAATGACAAATTTAAAACTAACAGGTCATTAAATTCTAGCCCAAGTGGGTGAATAGTCGTCGACGAGCTTGGTCTCACAATCTGAAGGTCCCGGGTTCGATCCCTGGCAAGGTCGTGGGTGGGTGCACACCGATGAGGAGTCTCAGAACAGGATGAAACAGTTGTCCAGTACTCCCCGGTTTTCAATGATATCTCTAACTGATGTTAGTTTTTGACGGAAATCTAACAATTGTTCTTTTTTTAGTGTCTATTTAAGTTAAGCTTTCGGCACTATACACATGTGGAAAAGAGGACTTTTCACAGCTGAAAAATAAGCGTGGGGACTCTGATTTCTAATTTAATTCAATTTAGATTTTCCCGTTGATTAATTGGAACGATGTGCTTGGTTATATCAACCTGAGACCCAGAACTTCATTCCAATCAGTCGACGGGAAAATCTAAGAAAATAAATTGAATAATTACGAAGACCCGTTGCACAAGAGGTAGCTATCGTGGCCCAAGTGGTCTAGTGGAAAACGCTTTGGCGTTTGAAACTATGGGGACTGGGTTCGAGCCTCGGTGGGGACACCATCAATCAGTTGGGGGATGCAGGTACGTCCAGGTGACGAGTGCATCCTGGATTTTACCGCTAGTCACCATGCACCTTTTGACTTCAAACTCTAATTTCGTGTTTTTAAAACTGTAATGGTGGTCCTACTGTGAAACACTTCTTTTAAATATGTTTGTTTTAAAGCTTACGAGATCAGTTGTATAGTGGTTTCTGCAACACTTATTTATTTTGCTTCGCCTACAGGTATTCATATTATATACTATCATTATTAAGTTTTCAAAATGGACTCATCACTTATTTACGTCATACACTATGGATAATTTTATATCCAATTGGATTTATATGTGAAGGTAAGAGTTGGGAGTTAATTTTTTGTTTGTTTTTGAACAGATTATTAAATGGTATTTGTTGGGTTTCCGAAGGAAACTGTAATAAAAATTTCATCCCTCGAACTGCGTGTACATTGCAAATTTTTGCCTAATTTGCAAATAAGTGAATTTGATTTATGGTGTCACAAGTTCATCGCCTGAGTAGTTAGCTTGAAATTGGCTGGTTTGAACTGATTCGGCTCTCGGAGGGGAATCAAACCACTTCCACAGCTGATGAGCTTGGCCCTAAACGTGGAAAATGAGCGTCCTGTATTTAAACCACCTCTTTTTGGCTAGAAAACACTGCTGATTGATATGAGTGGTATTCAACTACTCATATCACTCAGTCAGTAGCATATAGTTTTATGCAAATATGTTTTGTTTTTAATCGCGTTAGTTTTTTCCCCAGATTACTTAGTTTTTTATTCTCCTTTATGTTACATATTTTCGCTTTAATAGTAGTAAGTGGTGTGCGTCAGTGGTTCAGCGGTAGGATGCTCGCCATTCGCTCACGTGGTCTGGGGTTCGACCCCCAGCCGACGCACTCTTAAACCTCGCTAAGCCGGTGGTAGTAAGTCCGGTAAAGAGGGAAGTTTCGGCGTGAGACTATCAACCCCACCTCGTAAAATTGCAACCACTTCTACTGGAACTTCAAAGTTGAAGATTAAAGCCCTGTGTTCCACTCGGAACACAAAGAAATACCATAATAATAATAAAAAAGTGGTAGAAGCATATTTATTGGCCTAGAATCCATTTATGGTTGAATGATAGAATGCTTGCCAGCCACATGAGGCCTCCGCACTCGATGCATTCCTGAACCTCGACTATCCTAGGAAAAGAGAGGAGGCTGGACGTGCGGTTAGCAAGTCCATCCCGTAAAAACACAACACATTCGCTACTGAGATTTCAAAAGCTTCCAGTTAGAGCGCAAAGATTAAAATAGCTTACAAAAAACAGTTACATTTAAAAAAGTCACCTTTTAATATAATAATTTAAAACAATTAGTTCCCTTTATGAATTTAGACAGGGCAATAAGAAGACGTAATTTATATGAATTGTGTAATTTATTTGCGCAACACATTTCGAACTATCTGATCACACACGGACTTGTCATAGAAATATATCTGAAATCAATAAAGAGTTCAAAGGTGAAAAAATAGACACAGATCAAGTTAAAAGGAAATATTGAAGGTCAAAATAACAATGAAGACCACTAAACCAAATAGCAGAGGTAATAGTACATCTGCTATGGTATCAAAACAAAATTTACCAAGGAAGGTGGTTTAGTGTGATGACGAATTGTGTTTGAAGGCATAAAGGTGGTTTAAACTTCCTAATTGCTAGGGCTCCCACAAACTTTAGGATATGCCCCAAACAAGTTTTATAGATCTGTTAACGTCAATTTTATTTCCTGTTTCTATAATATGTTTCGCAATAGAGGAGCTAGGTCTCCTGTTCTCACCATTAATGGATTCTGGGGATTCTATTTGCTTCTGGAGCCACTTAAGAATATTTTTTGTCGATATTATAGTTTGAGTGGACATCATTGAGTTTTTCCTTTTTTATTTCCTATCCGCATAAATGACCTAGTACGGCCGAGGCTGGGTAGACTTCGGCACTTTCTCATGAAGTGCTCTCACGTGACCACACGCGTTCATAGCCTCTGCGAAGTAAGTCCTGTTCACTGCCTTCACGTCGTTGGGGGGGTGTTCCTCACAAAAGTGAAAGGACGAATCTGGCACTTACATAACTGGACATATTGGTGACATACTGGTCTACCTAAGGGAGCTGAAAAACCCTGATTCCAAATATATGGTGTACATAGGCTCTAGAATCCGAAATAATGGAATGACGTAGAACCCGTTGTGGTCACTGGAAATTATGGGGATGGTGTTTCACTGTTTTATAGATCAGACTTCAAGTCAAGGGCTTAAGGGTTTGGGTGCCCTCCTGGGCAGTATTTCAACCTTTGCACGATCTATGAAATTTTGTATGACGGATCTCTTAGTGTCCATGATTTTGCAAAGTTTATGATTTAAAAATAAATGAAAAAAAGAAAATGTTACATTTCTCAGGTGTGTCCGAGTATTTTTCAACCAGTCGAAGTTCGATCCTAATATAAAATTCTTGTTTGAATCTTATTAATCTACACAGCTAATGATACAGATGATATGCAGGGTGGTTTTTAATCAAAGGTTCAGTGTACTATGGTTGGTGCAGACTGAATTCTACCAGTCAACTTCGCAATGTGGCCACCATTCTAGGTGGCTCTGAATTGTTGCTGTTAGATGGTTAGAAGCAGTTGGTAGGAAGCCGTGGATCTAGATTTTATGCTTGTTGACACTCGTCAGCAAGGCGTATTCGTGACCTTGAGGGAGAGACGTCTTTGACTGCAGCACTGGTTGACCCAAGTTCGGACCTCAGAAGAGACGGGAGTTCCTTCAAGGTTGCAGATACGCCTTGCTGATGAGTGCCAACTAGCACAAAACCTAGTTGGAAAACTTTCTGCTATTATTATGTTACTGAATTTCATTTCTAATTATTCTTATGTGGCATATTTGTCATTATTATTGTAATTACTATTTCTTCATTTATTAGGTAAACTAATAATTCGATCAATTCCACTGTTAAAAGAATCGCAAAGATTCTCTTTGGCACTGCCAAATATAGCAAATATCAGCTTTGACTTCCCGATATTTCTACAAGTTTACTTATTAGCTATGTCATTTGGTGAGTTGATTTTGCAATTTTCTTTTTATAATTCTTCTTCGTATTATTATTGACATTTGTGTTAGATTAAATCTTTTTCATATATAGATATGGTAGGCTTGTCAGGATCTGCGAGTAAATCACTGTAGAAAGCGAAGTTCTGAACAGCTGTTTTGTCTCTGTTTTTTTGTTGTTGTTCTGTATTACACCTCTTTCAGGACGGAGAATACAAGGGATCAAGTGTAGGGGCATCAGATTCCTAGTTAATTGAGTCACAATATAGTCCTTGGGTCTGTGTGCATTCAATATCTCATCTATTACAACTTTTCACATACTAATGCTACCACCATCTCTTTAGTATTATCGATGTTTGTTCGGATTTAGTTACCCGAAACTGATCTTTTATTTACGGGAATATATGAACTCCACAATTATTGTGTGAAGGCTAATAATACTACGAAGTTGAACAGATTGAGGTAGTTGAAGTGGAATTCGAAACTGAGATCTACTGGTTGATAATCAAGTGTTTGAACCAATGAACCACATCGAGTGCTGTTGATGGGTAATTCTCCTCACAACCGATTTAGTGTAGATATTAATGGTCAAGATTTAGGAGGTCTATATTGAGGCTGAGTCACTAATGAGGCATTCACTAAGTGAGATGTGTTATTATTCCCTTGGGTTCCGACTTGTACTTAGGATTTCAACAGAACATCCCCGCTTTGTCCTGTTCTCGACAGTCCTCGCCAACTTTTTCCATGATCGACCATAAGCTTTCATCTTCTGCTCACATAATCTTCTGCAAGTCACTCTCGGATGCCCACCTCGTTGTTTCCTCTTTGGGTTCTACTCGAGGGCCAGCCTGGCATGGAATGTCAAAATTGGGTGTAAGGGAAGGCTATTTAATGATCCACAGATGGTGGTACTGTGTTGTCGTGTTTACGCCGTCTCTGGCGTGGACGTGATATCCGGCTATTGACCAAAGGGCAGGCAAGATCAAGTCAAAGAAACAATCAGTTCCAATACAAGTAGCCTAGAAGGTGTGGAAACACACAAAAACAAACAATCACGTCCAAGGTCACCGACCAGGAGAGATGATTAATAAACTCGTGGAGAAATATAAAAGCTCACATCAAATTGAAGTATGCGCTGAAGATATCACCTAGTAGGGTGATGAAAGCTTCGCAAATTAACTATCCATCTCAGAGAACACAACCACATGAAAATCATCCACGTGAGCTACAAATCTTCTCCATCATATCTATTATCATCCTTGCTATACACTTATGCATTCACCACTACTCAATAAGTTTCCTGCATTATTTACTCAAATATATCACCTTATACCTATGTTGCTGATGTCTTCTTCTTCTTATCCTGTGACAATTGTATTGCTTTTCTTTTCTATTACTTTTAGGATTCTACTATCTAATGAGACATCTGTATGTGAAACGACGGAAAACAATTGGTCCACGACCTATTAAAGGTGCTGATCAAATGGGATTTTTCTCTTTTCTACCCTATCTACATTCATTAGTTCGTGGTTCTGAGAAAAAAAGTATTAGCGGGGAAAAGAAATTTATCAAAGGTCGTAAAGTACCTAAACTAGCTTGATTCTTATATAATTCATGTCATAATATCCGTGATATATATATACATGGGTCAAATATTCCTCAAGTCAAATGTGACGTAATTCCAGTAAATATATAAACATATGCATATCTATGTATGAGGTTGTATTTGATAAAAATTGTCAACATGTTGTTATTAGTTAAATGTGTTCAATTTTTTCAGTCTTTTGTTGTAAAATGTATTAATTATCTTTTTGAATAAGAGAATTATGCTAAAGTGAAACTTATAATTACTAGGTTTTGGTACACGAAACAATTGTGTTTTTTAGGATAAGAGAGACACAAGATTCAAAATTTTTCTTATTAATAGTGGTAGTGTAACGACAGAAGGCAAGAGTCAGGCAACAGATCGTTTATTAAGGAAAATCAACACATATTTATAGATTTTAATGTACATTATTGTAGATTATTGTTAGTAGAAAATACAGTCTTTTGATTGGTTGTTTCTCACAGAAAGTTAACCTTGCATCTCTTTGTGGCTGTGTCAGATCATCTATATGCTAACTGTATCCGCCTACGCAAAGCCTTTGTTCTCATTTTCTCACCACCAATATTGGGGATATAAACATTGACGTCAATTACTGTCTACCAACTTTGGCTAGCAGCCAGCTCTCACCACAGTAGTATGAGTTCGAGTTATTGAGTCAACGAACTTTGAGAAATGATATATGCTTTATGCTTGATTGCATCCCAATGAGGAAAACTGGGAATATTCAGTCCACAAACTCGAAGACTTAATGACAGACGAAAACTAACAAACTGACAGAATACGCGACATTGATAGGAATTCAAGTGTGAATATAGAGAAGATATGGAGGTGGTGAAGATAAGCACCAATCATTACCAATGGGATAAATTTAAAAGGTATCATTTCCTTCACTCATCTGGGAAACATTGTTTCAACTACAGGTGACAGAGCAGATGAGGATATCAGAGGTAGAATCGGAGCAGCTAAACAGACCTTCATCACTGTGAAATCAGTTTTGAAATCTTCTGAACTCTGCAGCATAAAGAAGAAAATTCGGATTTTCAACACGACTGTTAATTCAGTCAGTTCTTCTCTATGTGTCAGAAAGATGCACTGCGCGTCACGGGAAGCATGTCCAACAACTAGCTGAAGACTTTTATCAACAGCTGTCTTCGTTCCATGTCAGAAAGAATTGATAAGAGGAAAATCTGGGAACAAACAAGTCAAGAAGCTATTGCTCAACAAAGAAAGTGGGGATGGGTTGGACACACAGAGGAGACCGTTAGGTGACCTCAAACGCCAGGCCATCGCCCGATTAGAACCCGAATAGTAAACAACGAAATGGCCGTCCGAGGGTGACATGGAGCAGATCGTGTCAGGAGGAGATGAGAGCTTATGGGTTATCTTGCGGCCATCTAAAGAGGACTGCGTAAAACAGGACGAAATGGATATGTTCTGTTGAAGCCTCATGTTCCACTTGGAACCCAAAGGAATTATAATGATAATATAGTAATAATCCACTCGTCGATATGAATAGTCTGGTTACTCCTAGGAGCATTAAGCGTTGTATTATAAGTAGTAAAACACTGGTACTTTGGTTTGAAATCCTTTCTATTAGGTCTTTTCTCAGAGTTGTGTCAGGAAGTTCTAGGAACTAGACTTAATTGGCTCTTTGTCTACCTCAATTGTTTTAGTGTTTGATAAGGACAGTTTCATCAACGTGGGCAACGACATTGATTCCCAGTACAGAAGTGATCTGATTCATCGTTTTTCTGACCATGACAGTTTTGATATTATTGCTTTGCCGATGGCAACGTATTTTTCGTTTCTGCAGCATTAGCAAATGCTGGACATTTTAAGAGCCACTTGTAGCGCATATACTCAATAGTTTAGTTACCGACGCTTTAGAATTTGAGAAGAAAGATCTTATAAAAGTTAGTATATTAAACAACTTACCGTCTCTTACAGACTTGCTGCAATAACCAATACTATATTCGGATGTATAACTATCACTTGTATGATAATGCTTCTGAACTGTTATATTTCTCAGCATATACAAGTTTAAGTCCTTTCTGTCAAGCTAGAGAAGATTTGGAAACTAGATCAGGGTGGGATCGGCAACGCACCCCTTACAGAGCATCCATTTTGAAAGGTCAACGATCTGATTGGTTATGCAAGGTTATCATATACTCACTCTTCGACAGATTCTGGAACACAGGCGTATTTACCGACGTCCAGCAATTGTCATATTTCTTGACCTGACCCGAGCGGTACTGTAGCAATGTCTGGCCGTGAAGGTAGTGTCTAGAAAGTATGTTGTACTAATCAAGGCACTCTACTCGAACTCACGCAGCCGTTTAAGAGCTTACAGAGAGTCGTCATCTGAAGTGATGACAACTTATGGTGTCCATCAGAGATGCCCACTGTCCCCTTTTCTGTTCTAATTTCATCGTAGATGTACTAATGGACTTAACCCTAACTGACTTCAGAGACTCGCGGATTGAACTGTTACCAGGGTCAAACCAAATTTTGGATTCAGTGCATGAAAACTTCGACAATTAATTTGAGCCGCGTAGGTATGTGAAGATTGCCTTGTTGGGGCCCTCGGGATGGTAAGAACCAAATGGTTGGATACAATTTGTGATATGGCTCAAAAAGTCGTTCTCAGTGGCGCGAATGCATTCACGCTTTGTAGTCTCTCATATCCAATAAACCGTCATGTTGTTTTTACGTTACTATCCTTTCTTCCTCACATTTCTGCTGATTATGATTCTTCCGAATCTCTGCTTTCTCTTTTGTCTTTCTTTATGTGCTTCATGAGATGTGGCAACTTGAACTGCTGCACTTTTGTTCAAAGTTCTATGTTGAAACCAGTCAGTCCAAGGTAATTTCTCCGTAACTTGAGCTTGCTTACTAATCTTTGCAGCCACCACAAAGTAAGACTTATCGCTTAAATAACATGGTCTAACGAGACAAAACCATTAGATGTGACAGATTTTTTTGTTATAATAGAGAAATGTTGTTGGTTTTCTTTTGCATATCGGTTGTCTTCAGCGTTCCAATTATTCGTCTCTTGTTATGTATGTGACCACTTTACTGGTTAAAAATTAAGATGACTTTTCTAATAGGTTCCACACAACATACTAGTGACGTCTGTCTCTATAAGTAGCGCAATTCGCGATAAGTTTCAAAGTTTGCTGTAAAATTTCGTAGTTGATATTTCAGTTAAAAAGAGACTAAATAAAGCTTACAGTATTAACAGACAATGGTTTATTCTGTTAGTATGACCTGTTTAAGGAACTGAATTCTTCACCCCATAGCATTTTATCCTGTTAACACTATAAATGTCGAACATATGAACTGAAGAATTATAATAACAGTCTGAATTTGTAGACCAAAGGTGATTGGCAATAAAACAAAGGCGACTTTGGTGGATCTAATGAATCGCTTCCCTGAACTGTGTAAATCTGATCAGGGAAACGGCTATCGAGTATTTTATTCAGCTGTCTGGCTAGATTAAATCATTACTCGATGTGGGTGACCTTCAATTACTTCGTGACTGGACGAGGAGTTGTAGATGAAGCTTATACGATGAAGGCGAAGCTTAAATAACTTCGCTTTCAATATCTGCAGACACATCCAACTCCTTCTGTCAAGGAGTTGTCATATTTAAACTAATATCATTGCATAGTGAGAGCTTCTAGAACTTTTATGTATTTAGATAGTTGACTTCCCGACATTAGTGGTTACAATTCATGGATGTGTATTCTGTTTTAGTCTGATTACCTCTTACTTTCTTATTGAGCTGGCGCTACTTTAGCTAACATTTGTCATCAGAGAAGATGGTGATTTAACCTACACTGTAAAATTGAACATATCCAGACTTTGCAGTTGCTTGCTCTTAACGTATCATCAGTAGTAAGTATACGCAGGTTAGAAGCTGTAATTTTTTATTGGTCTTCTCTATCAATAATTAAGCAAGAGGTGACCGTGTAACATGTTGGCTTGTTGTCAACTTTGGCCAGAAACAAATGGTTATCTAAACCTATTTCTAGAAAACTTTACCATTATTAGTTCGTTTGCATCAGAATTCATATTATTATTATTGTTCCCTTGGGTACCTAGTGGAACATAGGGCTTCAACTGCACGCCTCCACTTGCTTCTGTCTTCTGCTGTACTTTTCACCTGCATCTATGTCAGTCCATACTGTTTCAACTCCTCTTCACACGATCTCCTCCATGTCACCCTTGCACTGACGTCCCACTCGCCGCTTCACTTTCGGGTTCCACTCGAGCACTGGCCTGACGCGCGATGTCACCCAACGGCCTCCTCAGCGAGTGTCTAATCCATCTCCACTTTCTCCTGCATATTTGTTGAGCGATTGGTTCCTGTTTCGTTTGTTCCCATAGCTTCTTGTTTGTGATTCTTTCCGGCCATCTAATCTTCAGTATGGAGCGAAGACAGTTGTTGATAAAGATCTGCAACAGGCTGTTGGAAATATTCTTTGTGACCCGCTGACCAAGTTTCTGATCCGTAAAGCAAAATTGACTTCACGTTTGTATTGAAAATCCGAATTTTGTTGTTGATGCTGAGTTGAATGAGGAAGATTTCCAGATTGGTTTCAGGTTGATGAATGTGTTTCTCGCCTTCCCGATTCTCGATTTGACATCCTCGTCCGTTCCTCCTGTGGTTGAGACAATGCTCCCTAGATAAGTGAAAGAAGTAACTTCTTTCAAATCCCTCCCGTTGATGGTGATTGGCACTGGATGTTGCTGCTGTTGTTGTTGTTGGTTGGTTATTTTCATAACCTCCGTCTTGTCAATGTTCACCTGGAGTTCTGTCTTTGGTGCTTGTTAGACCAGTTTGTCGGTTTTCGCTTGTAAGTCTTTGATATTGTGTGACATCAAAAATAATTCATCTGAGAAATCCAGGTCTTCTAGGTTCTTCACGTCGGTCCAGGATATCCCTGTCTTCTCGTTTCCCACTGTCTGACGCATGATCCAGTCCACCACAATTAGGAATATCATTGGTGATAATAAGCACTCTTGTCTGACTCCTGTGTTTACTCGAAACGCCTCGCTGAGTTTTCCGTTGTGATCGGAATACATATATACATTAAAATACATTTCGGATTGGCTCAGCTTCCTTATTTAAACGTTAAAACCAGCTGCTTAGAC